CCTGGGCTCTAAAGTCCTCACTGGGTTGCTATGCTGCTGTGTGGCCACAGGCAAGTAGCTCGGCCTCTCTGACCAGGATCTCTCTATCTGTTGAGCAGATGTCCTAGCTGGGCACTGTGATTCTACTGACCAGCTCACAGGCTGCCTTCCCTTGGCACAAAGAGACAAGCTTTGCATGATGCACAAGCCTGCAAAGTTTGTGGAGTCGTCAAAACCCTTATGTGGACTCAACATGCCTGTACACCCCTCACTACCTGCCTTTCAGACCCCAGAGCAGATTGAGAGCAGGTGCAGGGCTGCTCCCACCTCCCTCTCCAGCCATGCTGGGCCCTTCCTGCAACACACCACAGCTTCCAATAACACAAGCTATGTGGAGGTTTGTTTTCCTTTCCCTTTGGGGTCACTGTCCTTATCTCTGCCCCAAACAGTCAGCAATAACTGTTGCTTTTTGGTGGAGATACACACACGCACAAACACATCCATTTCCTGGCCACCACTGACAGAGACAAGAAGCATGACAGCTCACAGATCTGGCAAGCTAGGGGTTTTTAGTCTTCTTGCTAAAGCAACAAAATCTTTTCTTTAGAAACCAAAATAGCTCTGGCTCTTGCATTCGTTCAGCAAACATTTATTGAGCTATTATGTACCAGGCTCTGAGCTAGCCAGGGACTAAGGACACAGTGGTGGGCAAGACCCTGCTTCCACGCTGCCGTCCTAGCGAGCCTGCCCCTGGCCACTCACTGGAAATCACAGCCCTTCCCCACCCAGCACTCTCTCTCCACAACCACACTTTGTCTCAGTGGTTCCTGCCACTTGAGGGACTGCATTTTTTACTTGTTAGTTTTGTTTACTGCCTTCTTCCCCAACCAGAATATAATAATCTCCGATACAGCATAGACACTCAGTGAGTATATGCTGCAAATAAATAAATGGACAAGAAACAAATTATATAGGAGATATATATATGTATGTATGTATGTATGTATGTGTGTATGTGTGTGTGTGTGTGTAGATGATTATATGATTATTTCACTACAAACAGGATAAGTGCTTTGGAAAATAAGTCCAGGGGTACATGGTTGACAGTTGGGACAAACTTGCCTGACCAAATAACGTTTAAACTGAACCCTAAAAGGTGAACAGATGTTATTCAGGCAAGGTGGGGAAGAAGGGTCTGAGGAGGAAAGAGAGTTCCCAGCAGAGAAACAGCATGTGCAAAGGTCCTGAGGCAGAAAGGACCCCAATGTCTAGAATTCTAATGTCTGGAAGGATAGAGGAGGAGAATAATGGGGGAGTGTAGCAAGGAGGCAGCTCATGGAGGATCTTAGAGGCCCCACCATTTGGATCTTATTCCAAAGACCACAGGGAACCCCAGAAGGGATTTAAAAACAGAGGTGCCTATCAGATCTATATTTCCAAAAGATCATTCTGTTGCTAGGTGAGTAGACTAGAGGGGTCAAGAGACATTTCTGGAAGAGTAATTAGGAGAACTGCTGGAGTTGTCAAGTGGGAGATGGTAGTGGTCAGAATGAGGCTGGTGGCAGCTAAGGCAGAGAGCAACATGGATGCAGTGGGGGCTCAGGTGGGGGTCAAAGTCCACTGACCTTCCCCTCACAGGTGTCTGAGGGTTCTCCACCTCAGGGATCAGTAAACTTCCTCTAGAAAAGACTAGATAGTAAGTATTTCATGTTTTGTAGGTGTGCAGGAAAGAGTTACCGTCGCAGGCCTGATGCTACTCTCCAGGGGGTCCTGCTCGCACTGGTGTCTGAGAACTCCGCTAAGATGTCCCCCATGGCACTAAGTGATACGGTTGTTTTATATGCCTGGGACACTCAATTCTGCTGGAGCAGGCTGCCTGGGCTGTTTGTACAAGCAATGCAATTTACGGTGAATGCCTGCTTTCCTGCTGAGGGCCTGGAATGCTGAGGACTGCGATCGATCACGCAGACAGAAAGTACCCATACACTCCATAAAACACTCCCACTAGAAACCTGGACTAGGAGTCCGGAACAGGCTCCTCTGGGCAGGAGCGCTGCTGCATTTCAGCACTGGAAGGAGCAGGACCTGCGCAGCCTCTCCTGGCTGGGGGGAGAACCCCGTAAGCCTGCGTGCGGATTCCTCCAGATGCTGCCTCGTGTGTCTTTCTCTCACTGATAATGGAAATGAATCTTATCCAAGAGCATAACTGTGTCTGTATCTTGCAAACCCTTCTAATAAGTCACTGAACGTGGGGTGGTGACGAGGGGCAGGTCTTGGGACCCTTGAATCAGGGGGGTCAATATGATTTCTGCCTCAACTACTCATTTCTGCCTTTGAGCTATGCTTCTGAACAGCCACAGACAATAAGTTAAAAATTAATCATACTGTAGCTGTGTTCCAATAAGACCTTATTTATAAAAATGGGCAGAGGGCTGAAGCTGGCCTGCAGTCATAGCTTGCTGACCCAGGCTCATGGAAAACTCAGGGGTCTCCAAATCTACTTTGAAAACCACTGACTGAATTCACCCTTTCATGTCATTAGTAAGGGAAACGGAGGCCCAGAAGGAGAAAGAGGGAAAGAACTTGCCCAAGGTCACTCAGGATCAGTGGCAGAACCAGAGGAAGAACCCATGTCCTGACTCCCAGCCCTGTGTGCTTCCACTGCTCAGAGGGGCCAATTCACAGAACAGCCTTGCAGATGAGTGCTGGCCTAGGAATCAACGCCTAAAAGGATGGAGCTGGTAAGAAACCGGGATGACTAGGGCAGATGGTCTAAACGGAGAACCGCCCGGCCTCACTTTTGTTCTGCATGTAGGTGTGGGTGTGGGTGTGTGTCCATGTGTGCACGTGTGTATGCGTGCAAGCTCCAAGATTGTACGTGTTGACGGGATTTCCACAAACTATTCTGATCATCAGAATGGCCTCTGAAGTTTCTTAATAATACAAATTCCCAGGTGCCATCTCAGCCCCTTGACGATACATTTCAACACGTGCCAAGGTGTTCTGATGACCAGACAGGTTTGGAAACCCGGGAGGATGATCGGGACTGACTGACCCTGAGGACCAGCAGAAGGGAGCCCACTGAGCAGAGGAGAGAACAGGACGTCCACCCAGGATCAAGGCAGCATTCGCAGACCTCACAAAAATGCACAGACCAGTGATTTTGGAAATGTGTTTTCCAAAACTGCTTCTTCAACTGAGTCTTTGCCATCAGAGTTGGTGAGGCCAACCGGCAGGAGCTAATTTCCTTCTTCCTAGGGATTCTGCCTGCAACACAGGCGGCCGCTGTCAGGTGCCTGGTGGGGCCTGAGCCTCGGGGCCCTCACGGCATGGCAAACTGAGACAGAAATGAGCACACAGTCCCACACCACCATCCACTTGAATTCATTGTAACAAGCTATACCTGAGCTGTGTGAACCCAGCGC